TAAAAGAAAACATCTTTATATTTAAGAAACATGATTTTACTTTTTTTGTCACATAACTGGCCTTGTTTCTTTTGAACTTGGCTCAGCCAAAATGAAACAGGAAGTGACATCAAAGAGGAATTCTTCAATAATTAAAACTCTCTGGTCTTTGTTTATTGAACCAATATTATTTGAACATTGGCTCTTCTTCATCTCTTTGATAGTGACTCTACAGAAACATTACATTCTTCTCTACAGTTTGTGTTTATTAGTTATTGTAGCAACTCTCTTTTCACAAGCAGTTATTCCCCTTTGACATCACTTCCTGTTACTTCACACGCAAATATCTCAACAACTGTTCATCTCAGCAGAGTGAACATTTTTGCAATATTTTATTAACGTTATCTTTCCAAATATGTGTTCATTTTTATTACAAAAAATGTTGTCACAGGCATTTTAAAAGATTTAAAGTGATAATCAACTAGAAGCACTGGACCACATGGTGTTCATGGGAGAATGTGTGTTTTTGTTGTCTTGTGTTATATCCCTCTCTTGTGTTCCCTTGTCGTCATTACGCCTCTTTCCCTCAGATTATCTACTTGTGATTACTTCTCAGTCAACACACACACCTRTCAGTAGTTTCCCGTTAGTGTTTTCACCAGCTGTTGTTCATCTCATCATTTCCTCTGTTTGTATATATTCTGGTTCAGTACTCCACACCCTCACTGGTTCATTGTTTGGTTAAGCCTTCTGTCTGGATGTTCTTTGTCGTTTTTCCCGTATCTCCTGAGTTTGTTGTTAGTTTGCTGCCACGCCAGCTTTTTTAAATTTTTTATAATAAACATTCTAATTTTTGTTAAACTTTAATCTCCGTCTGGATTTGGGTTCATTTCCTCGCCACATCCCAACAGTTCAGGGTTTCCTCATGTTTAATAAGGAAGGCACAGAGATTTCAGACTTAAATATATRTTTTTAAGGAATTTTACAGCTGGATAAATATTATGTTATTTTAAAATGGTTTTCTTGTAGACCCAATGAGAAACTGTCCATTTAATAAATCTGAAAGCTTCTTTTTCCGTAATAAATGAAGGCAGGGACTCTGGCACCTTTATCCCTTTAATAATCCTGAAACCCTGGACCTAAACATGCTTATTAACTTATTGTTACATTTTTTTCTTGTAATTAAAGCCCACAAGGGGTTAAGTTAGGCAGACCTTTTTCAGTATTGTAGTATTTCCTAACATTGTTTATTAGCTGTGACAAAGAGACGGCTCATGTGAAGCGGCTGGGATGAAGATCGGCTCCTCCAAATCTGAGTCCTCAGCTGGAAAAGGGTGGATGCTCTCTCCAGGTTGGGGGTGAGGTTCTGCCTGAAGTGGAGGACTTTAAGTGTTTTAGGGTTTTGTTCATGAGTGAGAGAAGAATGGAGAATCAGACTGATAGACGGATCGGTGCAGACTCTGTACCGGTCTGTTGTGATGAAAAGTGAGCTTTGGTTGGTTTGTTGCTACCCTCAGCTGTGGTTAGGTAGTGACAAAAAGAATGAGATCACGGATACAAGCGGCCAAAAAGAGTTTTCTCCACATGGACTCTCCTCTAGAAACATGGATGAGAAGTTCAGTCATCAGGGAGAGACTCAGAGTAGCTGCTCCTCCACATCCAGAAGAGCCAGCTGAAGTGGTTCATCTGGTAAGGCTGTCTTCTGGTTGCCTCCCTATAGGGAGGTACTTCTGACCTGTTCAACTGGGAGGAGACCCCCAGGAAGACCCAGGACACGCTGGAGAGACTCTCAACTGGCCAGGGAATCCTCCCAGAGGAGCTGGAAGTGGTCTGGACCTCTTTACTCAAGCTGCTGCCTCAMAACAAGCAGAAAATAACGAATGGATCCGTTTCTTTATTGATCAGGTGGTGGTATAACTTTGTTTATTTCAATAATTATGTCCTGTTTTCTCTTTTTAAGTTAGAGAATATCCCGATTGCATTTTCTTTGACTTTAAATTTGAACCATTCCAGTTCACTAGTTTCACATGTGTGGGTCACGTTGAACTGAACCAATTTTATGTCTACGACCAAAATATGCATCTAAAACCAGACAAAAAGGACTGGAAAAAATCAGCCCATTCTCACTCCCAACTCGTCACATATTGACGCTTTTCCAAGGTTCCCTCTGCGTCCTGGTTAGAAAAACCTGAACCTGTCATCGTGTGACATTTTAAAATATTTGCACTTGTGTGTTTTGATAATGACTTCACAAAGTTCGTTGTAAACTTTGAAACACAGATACTGTCGATGACTCAACTGCACATGAACACAGACTGTAGACTAAAGTCAGCATTTTAGGTTTAATGTTGTGAACAGAAATCACACATTGTGGCCTGAACAAAGAGGAACATCGGTCACAAGGTAAAACAAAACGTGACTGATGTGGTTTAATGGTTTTAAGTTGGTTATAAAAATGAAGTGCAGTAAATATTTGCAGTCAGGTTTTGTAAACAGTTGTTAGCTGGACTTGATGACTGCATGTCTTGAGTGCAGACACCGGTCTGATCTGTTCAGAAGTACTCAATCGGGTCCTGGTGGGTCTTGGGGTGCTGGATATTGGTCAGCTCAATGTCTCCTCCATAACATGGTAGTTTTTCATAAACACGAATGTGGATGTGCTCGTCTCCACCCACGTGGACCTGAAACACAAACAGATCAGAGCAACACTTCATCAGCTTCTGACCCTCAAAATGACATCATTASAGACCTGAACCCCCAATTAATTTAGCTGATAAACACTACTATCAGCCAAATAAAAAAGAAAAAATAACAATAATCTTTACTTTCTTCTCTTTAGTACACTAACCTCACTGTTTTATAACAAATTATAATAATTTTTTATTCAATTCTTCCAAGACCCCATCTTGATGCTTCAGGACCCACTGATGGGTCCTGACCCCAACTTTGGGAACCACTGAGTCAGACAATAATGTCAGTGACATCAAACAGTTTCCACCTCATGAATAATAACAGCTGTCTAATRATTTAATTTAATGTAAAGGCTTTTGTTTTGTAGTTGAAGACATTTTGCTCTCCACCCAGGTGAAAGTTTCTCATTCCAAACATTTCTCRATCCCACTCTGAACAGAGGAAACTCTTCCGGGTTTTTTTCTTTTCTTTTGTTTTTCTTTGATCAACACGCCCTGGATGACAGAAACTCTATAAAACATTAWGATGCTTTGTGTTTAAAAAATGWCAGAAACATATTAACTGCAGCATCTTTTACCTTTATGAAGTAGTTGGTCCCGGCCACACACTGGGTTTTGTAGCTTATGGCAACAAAAGTACCAAAATTCTTCCCAGATTTTTTCTGCACATCAGGTTTCATCTGAAGAACAAGAGAAAACAGARTTTAAAAAGTGAAACAAACTTTCTAAATCCCAACTCTGTGTGTTTGCTGATCTTAGTTTACTTTATTACAGATCTGTTGAATTTTTTCATCTGCGTTGTGTGTCTCTGGTGTGATTCCTCCTGGTCTCTGCATGGTTAGACTTTAGTCCGAAACACAAAACTGAACCCAGCTGAAGGAGAGACTGAAGCTGTGTCAGGAAATGAACTGGAGCAGTGAAATATATGGGTGTTTTTGGACTGTACCATGTGTTTGACAGGGGTGGAGGGGTGGTTCTTGTTTGATATTTTCTCGGTCTGGTAAAGAGGAAAGAATTGTCCATCTATAAATAACAACACAAAACAGCCGAATGTCCTCATGCTCACAGCTGCTGTCAGTAACACAAAGAGAGGTTGGTCAAACAGTTCTCCACTGGTTACAGTTTTTACCCCCTGAATCATGTGACCTAGTCATGTTACCCAAGTCTTTTTTGGAGTCGAGGCTCTAAGAGGTGACGGGAAAGCGAGAAGAGGTTATCTGCGGACTCAAAGTGGGCGTGTCAAAAGCATTAACACTGTTGGCTACGAGGCCTATATGATGGTATCCTTAGGTCCTGCTTGACCTCTTTACAGCCTGACCCTGACCCCAACACTAAGGTTAACCAGGAGAAATGTGACCCAAGTAGGGTTCTCCGGAAAAAGTGGTGCCGTACAGTAACGCCTCTTTTGTTCTTGTCCAATGAAGTGGTGCCGTACGGTATCGCCCCTTTTTTGCTTGTCCAATCAGATGTGTCCCTTTAACAAAGTCCGTCAAATCAGGTGTGTCGCTTTAGAATCGCCTTTCCTTGCGACACGCCTACTCGTCCGCAGAGACCCCTGCTTGGGGAAAGCCATGACTAACTCCAAAACGTCACAAAGTTTCCTTCCTCAGTTCTGTGTCAGGTTTGTAATCAGTTCCTGGCAGTATGCTCTGTTAGGAAGCCTTTAGCTGCAGAGGATGCAGCTTGTTTTCTTAYTTAATCTATAAACCTTTTTCATTTCTTTACCCTTGTGTCGATTTTGAACACCAAGTTTGTATTTTCAAGTAGAACCCTTCAGTTCGTCAGTTTTGTGTTTCTGKTCATTTTTATTTACAACACGTTTTTTACAGGTTCTTTTTTTTTATTTATTTTTTTATTGATGGCCTCCCTTCTCCCCCTATAGCCATCCTCTCCACACCATTATTATGT